GTGTTTACTGCGCGCGCAGAAGCAGCGCTACTTGTTTGGATTCTAATTAACGACTAATCCTGTGCAATTTAAGTAAAAGCCTCCATACGATTGTGCAGCCGTGAGGTAACCAACCACTTTTTGTTTGACGCAACAGTGCATGTTCCCACGAGTTACAGCCCGGACTCAGCTAAAGATGAGTTCTACCGTCAACTATCCTACCTACTCCATAACAATTATTGCAAGTATATGGTGGTTCTCATCGGAGACCTCAGCGCACCGGTTGGTAGGCTGGAAGCTTTGGAACAAGATGTCGGTAGTCTGGGTTGCTATGATATTCGCATGACGGCTTAAGAAAGCAAATGAATAGCATCAACAGTATGTCGTTACGCAGTACGGACACCATGCTGCCATGCAAGCACCACCGGTCGCACGTGGATTAAGGATGCTTCGAGAGTCGCCCGGTCCCGATCCAGGTTCCAACCATCGTTGTCAGATTACGAGACAAGGTGGTTACCTTTAGGCTACGGGATTGAGGAGGTCGAGCGCCACAGATCTCTGCTGCTCACGGTCGTGGATACAGACTGACCACATGGTGATCGACTACCATTGACGAGGCTGTTGATTGGACAGCAGATCAAGTTGAAGTACTTAACGCCCTTCTGATCACGCGCTTGTATGTAGTAGAATGTTTACAGGTTCCGGCCCTCCCCCCACTCAGAAGGGAATGTAAACAGGTCAGTTGCAGGTGCCTTGTCCGCTGTGCGGTCACATTTTAATCTGACTACAGAATCCACCTTTTCTGATGAAATTATTAGTGTGATACGCTTCACTTGCACAAGTAGAAATGAGTTACAGCCGAACCGCGACATCTTAACGTGCTTTCGGTTATTGGTAAAACGACGGAAAGACCGGCCTGCTAGTTATGAAATGAGCAGACGCAACTGAAGAGTAAAGAGCGTCGCCTAACCGCATTCATCATACTTGCCACACTGGATTCACCTAGCATCATTATCCTATGGTGTGTTCCGATGCTGGTGGCAATCTTAACTGAAATCTGGACTCCCTGCAGTGTCCTTTCAAACACTAGGTTTGTGTGGTGGGGTCGTTATCAACCACATTCGATCTGGAGGTTGCGTTACATCGTCCGCTTCCATCTACCTTACAGGTTTGGTTAACACCACTGATGAAACCGAGATTACGAGTCTAACCGGTGTGCTGCAAGAGGGAACGAAATACCATCAGTTGGATTCCTGCGTTCCTTGCCCCTGGAGGCCAGGGTGATATACACCCCCTCACGGATTAACACTTGGCTCCACAGCCTATGTGGTTCGTACACTTCACAGACCGTAGCCATTATGTATCACAAGTCACCGTAGGGGGACAGCTATGTTTCGTGACCACAAGGAAAAATCACCTGCACACTGGGGTCTTGCAGCGATGACGAATAGGCAACGCCGACAGGCAGATGACTGACCGCAAACAGCTGACCAGCTTTGGGACAATGAGACAGCCAGTTTCGCGAGATGGGATAGAGGCAAACGGTTGACCCCAATACACAGGCTGTTTGGGGGGGGGGGTTGGAACATGAGACGTGGAGAAATAAATTATCAGTAATACTGTGAACGTGCAGTTTACCGAAAAGTGATGGCACGAAGAGGACCGTATGCTCACCATTCCATGGAAGTGAAGCGTAGAATAATGAAAACATATGAGGAGGGAGCGGATTGGAAGCAGGTTGCTGGTGTGCTTAACGTGAATGTGTAACCCTGCCGCAGCTGGATTCGTATGTGGGAGTCAACCGAACCTAGGGGACAGCATGGAGGGGTTCGTCGCAGAGCGTTGGCAGATAGTCATGTGGACGCTCTGGTTGAGTGGGTCTCTGCGGAGCCAACAATAACCCTTGAAGCTCTTCGATTGCGGTTGAAAGCGGAGTTTGAAGTTGAGGTATGCACCAGCACGGTCGCCAGGTACTTAGACGGCCGATTAATAACCATGAAGAAGTTGCACGCTATTCCGGAGTCTCTGAACACGTTAGAGAACAAGAGGCGACGGAAATCATTCGTGCTGCAGCTGATGCATTTGGAGGCAGAAGGAAGACAACCAGTGTGGATAGATGAAACGAATTTCAACCTTTTCTGCGGGCGCACCAGGGGGCGCTCACTTCGTGGTACTCGGGCGCAATGTACCATGGCGAATACTAGGGGTCAGAATCTACACCTAGTCGGCGCCATGACGAAGAATTCCTTGATAGCTTTCTCCGTTTTAAGAGGCAGCTACAACAAAAATAGGTGTGCTCAGTGGGTGCGTCAACTGCTGGATACTAACGGCTCCACATTTATCGAAAGCTGTCTTTTGCTTTGCGACAATGCGCCATGCCACACGGACCTGGAGCAAGTTTTTTTGAAGGAACCTTACCGATCAGGGAAACTTCTGCGACTGGCCCCATACTCTCCATCGCTCAACCCCATCGAGGGCATCTGGAGCATTATAAAGTCCTATGAGAAGCAAGTAATGAGAGCACGCTATGCTGAAATGCTCATAGGTGACCCTGCAGGTGTTCTAAGCAAAGGCGAGTGGCGGACACGTTTTCTGGAGAAGGTGGTGTCTGAATCACAAGCATACGTGACACAGCATCAATGCCAGCAGATGGTTCAGCACGTCGTAAAGAACTACGGCCGTGTTATTCATCTATCAGATATGTGAAACACTTTTTCAGTAAACTACTGGTTTGTAAATAAAAATATTGTTATTACATCATCGTGGGTGGTCATGGTACACCATACGCTCTGGATGAAAAATGCAGTACTCATGACAGCTGCTCGAAAGTAGTGCGCGATGTCGTGTGGCATAGATGCTTACGTTTCCGCTTAGTGAAACAACCCTGTGAGAGCTTGAGAACTGGCGGCGCATGGGAGTACGGTTGTAGAGTTAGTGATGATCGGAAATCACCTATGGAAGTTGTTTGTGTTTGAAGAGCAGAAGGCTAATAGATTTGGATACGTGTAGATCAGGGAAGAACACGGAAACATGAGGTCTCCGATGAGAACCACCATATACTTGCAATAATTGTTATGGAGTAGGTAGGATAGTTGACGGTAGAACTCATCTTTAGCTGAGTCCGGGCTGTAACTCGTGGGAACATGCACTGTTGCGTCAAACAAAAAGTGGTTGGTTACCTCACGGCTGCACAATCGTATGGAGGCTTTTACTTAAATTGCACAGGATTAGTCGTTAATTAGAATCCAAACAAGTAGCGCTGCTTCTGCGCGCGCAGTAAACACAACTCGTACACCAGTCTAGTCCGCGGCTTCTTCACCTATGTCTCCCGATAACTTTGGCGTGCATGTATTCTGCAAAGGATCTGAGGATTACGTAAATTCATGTGTGTGTTGTCTGCACATGGAACTTTTCAGTTACCCAGGTAGGAGAAGCGATTAACTATTCCGTAAACCGAGCCAACGCCTTAATTCTTAAAGCCGTTACCAGCTAAGCTGTGAGGCGATTAGCATATGTCACGGACCGTCGAGAGCCGATAACAAGTTTTGAGTGTTAATTAAGTTTATTATTAAGCAAAATCTACCTTATGACAAAAATAATGAAAAAGCTATAGGCAAATTAATTCGGGACTCAAAGAGTTAAAGCGGGTGTGAGCTTTCGAGTGAGTTATTTGATGTAGTGTAATTGGCCAAGTACACTGTCGACGCGGTGTTTGAATGTAGGGGCGAAATAATAGATTCTGGAAAGGCATTCCAAGCATAACAAGAGAACAACTGAGAAGACATTTCGATAACACTCCAGGCGGCTGTGTTGTTCGGCCATCTTAAGATGTTCTTTCAGATTGCTGTTACGACCCACAACATGCATAAGCAAAGTCGCTTACACTCCGACAAGGCATGACAAAGTCTTAAGGTAAACGTCGATATCGTCCATTGTATGCACCTAACATTCTTAGTCGCTACTCGTAGGGTACATACTACAAAGCTGATGTTTTCTGATCGAGAAAATAGTTAGATCTCGATTACATCATGATTGCCAGAGTTGAATTACACATTCCAGAGGATGGCGCATGCACAAAGAAAACAGTTGAAGGAGAATCGACGAGTAGAAACGTACGGAGAGTTTCAGTTAGATACCCACGTTTTAAATGCCCTTCTTTAGTGGGATTTCAGATTAAACCTAGCAGACAAGATCTTCCTGATTAAGCACGCGAAGGTCTTATGCGATAACATTTATTAAATCCTGGTTGCCTAATCTGAAGGCGTAAACTACTTGGTGTCGAAATGCGAGGCAGTAGACCAGGGATATGAAGAAATGGCACGAAGAAACGCCATTAAATCTTGTCCTGCGTTAGCCTAGGGATTGACTTATTGTTATTGTTATGATTATTATTACTGTCAGCCCATAGAATAAATATAGCCAGCTTGTCTTGTAATCTGGCGGCGCCGGTTTGAGCGTGTGTAGGGGCACGACGACCCTCGCAGTATCCTTAGCACATGTGCGACCGGTGATGGCTACGCGGCAGCGAAGCGTCGGCACTGCATGCCGGCGTACTGCCGATATATTCCTTTCTTTCTTTCCTATTTTGACTATTATTAATACTACTACTACTATCATTACTATCAGACAGAACGCGGTTATGAAGTTTGTGGCGCCCTTGGACTCGCTCTGTTGCTTTTGAAATGCAACTGCTCCATCCGAAAACTTCAATTCTCATCTATTCCTCCCGAATTACTACCACAAAACTTAACATTAATAACATTTTTGCGGTTGGGGTGAAGACGACCGAATTCACCGCAACTCAGTGCATAGGTCGCAGTCGATGGACTAGAGTTGCACCCTTGAAATTTTACACATGAAATAGAAAAGTCAAGGTTAATACTAAATACCGAAAGCTGGTCCAATGGGTTTTAGGCGTTCACAGTAATTTACAACGGATGATGGAGATGCCACGGTTTCTCAACGTAATGAGATTAATAAAGCCCATTAAGCAGAGAAGTAGTAAGCACAACATAGTTATTCTAGCTGAAAGAAAGACGTCGCAAAGGTCGGTCACACATTACCTGAAGTAGCTCTTCGGACCCTTTCGGGTCCTGTTCCACAAGCGATCGTATCTGATTGTTGTAGTGTTCCGAGATCACTGATTCCACAGCAACAGTGCATGCCATGGCATATCGAGGACCGAGTGCAGCGCTCCCGATGCCAACAAGCAGGCCGGCAAGGTTCCAAAAAGGGAGCAATGCAGTAGGTCTGACCCTGTATCTTGGAATCAACTCCTGGAATTTCCGTAGGTGATGTTCCTCTTGATCGCACATTTCCTAAACCAAGGTGGAACCGGATGTGAAACTACTGAGTAAGTGATGAGGTCCCAAGCTATAGAAAAACGGTGTTAGAGACACGAGACACGAACTAGATCAAAGTAATTCCATTTGCGAGTGAGATTGTTATCTGACAGACGGTTGCGGAGGACATCCATCAGAATTGTAGAGTAGCAACTAAACTGCAAAGATGTATCAGTACCTGGAGATTGGTCGGTAGAAAGTCGAGGGATAAGATAACGCATAGAAGCGAATGTTCAGACCAGTACAAAACCAATGGCCGCACAGTTTCATAGGTTGAATTAGGGATGCTCTGGCATCCACGCATCAGGCAAATTTGGGTGAGAACGTAATCTCGCATCTCAAAACTTTAGATGGCTATGAAACAGTCGATTACGCCGAGCTAGCGACTACACTACCAACTGCTCTACTGTGGTTCATGTGCATGAGGTCGCCGATCAAGCGAGGCGGCCTGTCTGTTAGCTATCTTGCTGCTTCGTGTGACTTGTCAGCTGTCCGGTGTGATGAAGTCTTTGTTCTGACGGCTCTAGACCCCAACAACCGCGATTCTAACATAAAGTGATGAGAAGGAAAGTTGTGCCCAGAAACGCAGAATGCGCAAAAGCAACAGCAGCAGTACATCAGCGTTTGTAATGATGCTCCATAAAAAAGCGAATTGCATTTGACCCTTATTGCGGTTGCAGTTTAACTCATGCTTGACGGGAAAGCCGCGCGACTAATCAGTGTTCGGCGGCTCGTTAATGGTGCATCTCCGCCCATGGATCTTTGCATACTTTCTTCTAACTCTTTCTCATTCTTGTCGATGTTCCACATGTGTTGTGGCACTCTGCCAAATGTTTGTTGGCCAAGTGTTCATATATATATGTATATATGTATATATGTATATATGTATATATGTATATATATATATATATATATATATATATATATATATATATATATATATATATCAATGTATCGTCATACATGTTAGCTAGAGGTGCAAAACACCTCAGCTACTGTGCCACAATACTTGGATGCCAGCAGAGCCACCAACAACGGATGGGCATCGTTCCGGAAAGCTAGTAGCTGGTTAATAGGCAACAAGAAAGAGTATGATGCAAAATTACATTATGCTACGAAATGAGAATATGGTTGGAAAGGGAGGCTAAAAATAATGGAGAGGGACAAAGAAACTCACAGCACGAACGCCACTGAGGTCGGCTCCTAACCATGTCAGCAAGTGTATCTAGCTAAACGCGTTCATCGCCCACTGGACCCCAACCAGGGAGCCGAGTAGCTCCAAGCGAGGCCAGCTCCAAAGTCAGGGACTTCATTCCTCTCGACCAAGTCATCGCTTGGCCACCACTCTTCTTCCATCCACAATCCCTGCGAGCAAACAACGCACGCCGCGGGAGTCGGTGGGCTGGCATGCGCAACACGTGGCCGAGCCATCGGAGCCTGGTGCTTGAAATGATGGTGCTGAGCAGTTCAGTTCCTTTTCCTGTACCGTAACCAAGGCGCCGAACACGCTCGTTGCTCACGCGGTGTTCCCACCAGATGTGAGCCAAACTGCAAAGGCACCAATGGTCGAACGTAAATAGCCTCTTTATGTCCTCTGATTTAAGGGGTCACGCTTCGCAATCGTACAGTAAGGTCGAACGTAACGTTGCATTGTGCACTCTGCCGCTCAGCGTGTGAGCGATGTCATGCAGCCGCCATAGGTGGCGAAGATTAGCAAAAGCACTTCGAGCTTTTGCTATACGGTTCGTGATTTCGTCTTCGATCCCAAGGGCACTGATACAACTTCCCAGGTAGTTGAATTTCCGAACGACTTCCAGCTAATCCCCACCAAAGGTCAGCAAAGGAGGTGACCTATGCCGCCCTTAGAGGAAAGCTTTACACTTCGATGGTGAAAAGTAAGGTCCGTAGAGGCTGACAGCCAGCGCTAATCTGTCCAGTGCTGCTTGGCACGTCTGGACGCTGTCATACATGACGGCAATATCATCAGTATATTCCAAGTCAAGAAGTCGTTCACCTGTATGTAGATCCATACCTTCTAAGTCGTGTCCTGTGAATACAATCTCCATGACTTCGTCAATAGCGAAGTTCAAGAGGAAAGATGAAAGTGGACACCTTTGTCTCACACTGTTAAAGATACTGAAGGGCGGTGACAGCTTGCCGTAAGCTCTCACCCTGTATGAGCTACGTGCGTACAATGGTCGGATAATATTTACATATTTCTCGGGCACAACTTTACTGAGTAAAAAGTCCCAAAGTGCACGTCTTTCCAACGAATCGAAGGTCCGCCAATATATGTGACGGTGCTCCAACAATTGCCGCAAAGTGAAGATGTGGTCGATGCAGCCACGACGCCGACGAAACGCGGCTTGCTCCCCACGAATTCGGCTTTCACGAGCGCCAGTCAGTCTGTGAAGGAGTACAGAGGCAAGTAATGTGGAGGCGATAGGGATCAGACTGATTCCTCCATGGTTGCTGCATTCCGAGCGCGAGTCCACTACGAGGATGGGAACAATAACCGAGCGGCTCCAGTCGGTAGGGACAGTTTTCTGCTCCCACAGTTTCACTAGTAATTCGTGTAAATCATCCACAAGAGTAGAGCCTCAGAATTTGAAGAGGGCTTGAGAAAGATCATCTGGTCTCGCGGCTTTGGTCAACTTCAACAGTTCTATCTCACATTCGACCTCTGAGCAAGAGGGTGGATCCATAGGGACAGCCCACGGAGCAAGGCGATCAGTGGCCGGTGAGGAATTGAATATTTCCGGCCAATTAATTGCTTTTCAAAATGCCCAGCCAAACGCTCTAAACGTTTCGACAAATTGTGCATAGGCTGCCCACTCTCATCACAAATTGTTTCACTAACACCAGGTCTCCTGCTGCCCCATTCCCGTAGCAGACGGAATAACTGACGATGACTACCAAGGGCATCGGCTACTTCCATCTCTTACGCAGGAAGAGACCACTAGGATTCGCAGTCTCTCTTCAGGCTAGCACGGAGTTTTGCCCGGAGCTCTTTGCGAGTTTCATTGTGTTCGCTTCCAGCCGGAATACGCCGGCGAGCATCGATGAGCTCCAGAGACCGCGAAAAGACCCAATGTCCATGTTGGCGATTAGACTTACCACATGAGGATTTGCCTGCTGCTAGTAAGGTCTGGTGAACATGCGACCAGTGACCTTCAATTGTCTCCAATGAGCGCTTACTCAACTCGCATGTCACCGTACTTCAATACGCATTCAGAACAGCTGGCTTCGACAGTTACCTGGTGTCAATGCGTTCACAGCGTCGTCGTGGGCGTCCGCCAAAACGCATCCGCATGTCAACTCATACAAGCGCATAGTCGATGTCCACAGATGTGCTCCAAATCGAGCGATAGTTCTGGATGCAGCCCCTCCAGCGATAACTATTCGCGAGGTGATCGATTTGTGTCCAATGCTGGTGGGCGCCAATTTACCCTCCGGCGGGTGCTGTGTCGAAAGTTACTGTTCACAAGAAATAAGCGGGCATCTTCACACAAATGAAGTATTCGCTCACCGTTATCATTACGGGAGCCTATACCCTGCTGACCGCCCAGACGCAGCTTATCAGTGGACAATTTTCAATCTTGAGCGTTCGGATCCCCAGCAAGCACTAAAGTGTCCGCGCTTCTTCTGTGGCGAAGGAGCTAGGTCAGTAAGTGGTAGAAGTCGTTCTTTACCGAATCATCGCTACAGTTTGTGGGCGCGTAGGCAGCGATGACGAACAGACACCTATGAGTTCCGTGCGACATAGAAGCTTTGAACGATCCAGCCAATCGGACCGCCCACATCCGGCTATTGACTGAGATCCAATCAATCAGAGCAGCTTCAGCCCGGGGACTCAGGGCAATGACAACACCAGGTTGGCCGGTGCTCGAAGCTGCATCGTCACCGGATAGGCTCAAATACTGCTGGTGTCACCTGAAGGGGATTGCAGAGTGAGCACAGAGCTCGAGTCTTGCAGGAGGGTCTCCGATAAACAGCAGATATCGATCGAGAGGGTCTCCAATGTTCGGGAAAGTGCTGCCTGTTGACCAATCTGTAGTAATGTGCGTACATTGAGGCATGCCAATCTGAAGGAGGATCGAGGGCTCCAAATGGAAGCCGATGAACTGGGCTTGACCGCTTGCTTGGACTTGGGCCTGTTGACAGGGCAGGTGTGACGCTCCGCGTTTGCACGTGAGTTGAAACTAGAAGATAAACGCCTAGCAAAGCATGGTGGGGGAGGGCCAAGAATCGGGAGTTGAAAACTGGAGGAAAAAGTGAAGTTGGAACGTGACCATAAGGGAGAAAAAGCGTAAGAGGAGTTAGAAGACGAGAAGGCTTGAGCAGTAGCGTCCACACCCCTATCCACCCTGCTTGAAGCCACAGATAGGGCACCGTTGATTATCCCCTGCGGTAAAGAGAGCATCAGGAATTTGTTTGAAGGTTCATTATATATATATATATATATATATATATATATATATATATATATATATATATATATATAGACGTTTGGCAGTGCCACAACACATGTGTGTCGCTCAGCACCATTACTTCGCGCACCTGGCTCCTATGGCAGCACAACAACTCCCGCGAACGGAGTCTAGATGAGTAGAAGGGGCGACGAATTTAACCAATGAGTTGGTCAAAAGGAATGAACGCTCACACTTCAAAGCTGGCTTCGGTAAGTTCCTTCCGACTCCTAGTTTGGGGTTATACAGACGAGGAACACGTCTAGTTGATGTGACCAAGCGTGATGTCATTAACGATAGGTGTTAAAAACAAAGTGTACTGTGTTTCTCACATAGAGTTAATGTGTCGAGTGATGGTGAATATTTGCGATCGTACAGTCATCATTAATATGAGGGGAGGTGGATGGATCAAATGTAAAATCTAAATACCAATAGTAAACATGTAAGATCAAGGTGGCTACATGATGCTAACAGCGCAATCACAAAATAGCGGCTCTCTTATGGAAA